AGCTCAAGGCTAGTGCTCTACCACTTGAGCCACAGTGCCACTTCCAGCTTTTTCTGCTTATGTGGTGCTGAGGAATCGAACCCAGGGCCTCATGCGTACAAGACAAGCACTCTACCACTGAACAACCTTTCCAGCCCTCTACCAAAATTTCTGAAACACTAAGTAAACTTATGTTTTATATTTTCTGTTGGTAGGAAGAACAGATGACAATAAACCAGTTTGAAATGTGGAGAACGGTTGGGAGGCTTTCACAGTAATTAAGCATCATATACGATAAGGATCTGAAGTAACTATGGCAGTAAGAGGAAACCAGAAAACATGAACTATGTTTAGAAGTCTCTGGATTTCTTTTCCAATATGAGAAGTGATTAGAAGTATGAAATTTTCCTCCCAAGAACCTAACATGTTTCAGTAAAAATCATACACAAATGATTGTCAAATCAAAGAATACAAAACAGGGCAGAAGGGGATACTTAGGTTTTATAATGATTTTACCCAACTAGCTAAGATGCTTTATAATTGTGTACTTCCTTCCTAGGCATAGGTTAGGTTCCTTCCTAGGCATACTGTACCTGCACCAGATTTCAAACTGGACCCCACCTCCAGGCAGAAGCCCCTGTGACATGAAGGCACTGAGCAGGAGCCTTTGCACTGGAACTTCAGTTGGCAACAGGAGAGAATGATGGTGCTCACTATTAAAGACGGGATCTGGAACACAGAGGGTAGTTGAAGTTCTGAAGGGCTTCAGAGTAATTCCTTTGGAAAAAAAACAAGTTCAAAATATCAAAGACCAATTAGTGTTTTATATGTAGTAAGACATTATTTACATGTACAGTGTTTATCCTCCCAACAATCCTATGAGAACAAAGCAGGCATTATTCCTACATCAGAGGTGAGGATATGGATATCTGTGATCATAAGTTAACTAAGGTAACAGACCTAGGACCAGGACCACATCTGCTACCCATGTTACTTCTACATGTCCTTAGGTACTTTGGTCCCCTAAGGTTCCATAATAATATAGAAGAGTTTCTTTTGCTGGTGGACAATGCATGAAGGTTCAAAATGTCCTCACCTTTTTTTTTTGGGGGGGGGGATCAGTTGTGGAGCTTGAACTTGGGGCGTGGGTGCTGTCCCTAAACTCTTTTGTTCAAGGCTAGCACTCTACTACTTTGTGCCACAGTACTACTTCAGGTTTTCAGGTGGTTAACTGGAGATAAGAGCCTCATGTACTTTCTAGCCCTGGCTGGCTTCTAACTGTGATCCTCAGATCTTGCATCCTGATTAGCCAGGATTACAGGCATGAGCCACCAGTGTCCTGCTGTCTCCACCTACCTTTTTGCCCCCACCTACCTTTCTGCCATCACTCACTGGTCTCAAACTTTATACTGTCTTAGTAGGTGCAAATTTTATCTCATGGAAGTTATTTTCTTCTTAATTATCCAAATGACTAATGATATTTATTATCTACAATTGTTTGGATAAGGTTTATTCCCCAGATGTTCATGTGCTGGAGATTCAGTCCCAGTGTGATGACACTGAAAGGTGGTAGAACTTTTAAGAGGTCTAATGGAGGTCTAATAGGTCATTGGTAGTACCGTCCCATGAAGGGCGTGCTTGTCTTATGGAGTAGGCTAGTTTTCACAAGAATGAGTTGTTACAAAGCAAAGCTATCCCATGTGTGCATAGTCATTTCCTATTCTGCCTCTTCGTCATGCTGTGACATAGCCAGGAAGTCCTGATGAGACGCTGGACTTAACAGGGCCATCCAAAACTGTGAGCTAAATAAACCTCTTTTGGGACAAACAAAGTGGCATATTTTTTAAAACACATTTTTTATTATAAAAATACTTTACAGAGGGGTTACAGTTACATAAGCAAGGAAGGAGGTAGAAATGAGGGGACTGCAGTTTAAGACCAGCTAGAAGAAAAGTTAACAGGACCCTATCATGGTTCATGCCTGTAATTCCAGTTATATGAAAGGTAGGAGGATTGTGGTAGAAGAGATGTTTCTGAATTCCTTAATTTCCTAAATATTTATAGTGAGCAGAACACCACAAATAATCAGAATCAACTATATGTGTATAGATGAGGAGGCATGTAAATAATATAAGGGATCAATATAAATAATTGGTAGACCTAGGCAAAGGGTATACAGAAATTCTCTGTACTATTTTTTATGACTTTTGTAAATTTGAGATAATATGAAAATAAAAAGTTACACAAAATAGTTTGATAGAAAGAAATAAAAGCTTAGCCCATTTCCTGTTTTACTAGAAGACAAGAGGAGTAAAAAAATCATCTGGCAACACAAAATCCACTTAGGAAAATAAATTCCTAAGTACATGAATCAAAGAACCATACAAAAATGAGATGACCTAATCTCCCAAACCTACCATTTTCAAGGAAATCAGGCTCTTTGAGCACACTGGACTGTGAGTCTTGAAATGGAAAGTAGTACTGGACATAACAATCTGCTTCTCCCCAGACTGTTGACTGAAGAGGGGCTAGCCCTTTAACCATCATGATATGGAACTCAAAGTGGTGCTCCATTAACACATTTCCTTTGCCTTCTGCCTGCTAAATGAAACAAACACTGGTGAGCTTCAAGGACTATCTTGCTTATAATATTATTCAAAAATTTCCCTTTGGGGAACAGAATATTTGTAGTTGGAATCCTTGGAATAAAAAAAAAAGGTTTTGGGAAAAAACTGAATCATGAAAAACAGCTTTATTTGGCCATAAAGTGTAACAATTTAATAATTTGGTTCTGTAGATGGTGATCTGGATGGAAGACATGAGTATTAGAGGGAAAAACAACTATATTTGTGGATATCTAGCTACATAGGCAAACCTTTTAAGGATTTCCTCTGTGCACGCAGGGAGTTAACATTTTCTAACTTTTAAGATGGAAATATAACAAAATTGAGTCTACACTGCAAACTGAGGAACATAGTTGGGCTTCTATGTAATTTTCAATTATTTTTATATAGTTTTCAATTAGAAAAACTGTCTGTCTTTCTATGAGACAGAGTTTCACTATGTTCAGGTGGGCCTGGAACCTGCTATATAGTTCAGACTGACCTTGTACTCATGATCCTCCTTCCTCTGATACCTAAGTAATTGGATTCCAGGAATACAACACCATTGGGCAGGGGAACAGCTCAGTGGTAGAACTCTTGCCTTATGTGCCTGATGGATTTGATTCCCAGCACCACAAAAAGAAACATTCAATAACATATTGACACACAAGTGTAGAGTCCATAGCATACAAATATTTTCCTAATAGTTCTTTTTCCTTCTAGAGGCTTTTAAATTTGTCATTCAGATTTCAACTTAAATGGATAAAATACTTAAAAGGTGAGAACTCTGCAGTTTGACTTCACTAGTACAGGAAACAAATAAACACAGCAGGATTTAATACCTGGAGTCAGAAGACTTGTGTTTGAACCCATTTTCTATTCAAAGACATAATGTCTTTGAGTATGTTTCATTACCTATAAATGAGTATGACAATGACCCTCCTAATGAAGTTGTTATGGAAATAAATATGAAAACGCATATTAAAACAAATTACTTTTAAGTTACAAGTAGGAAAAGTACTAACTTTATAACTTGAACTTAGTCAACAGATTAAGATTTTGCTGACTATATTTAGGATTGCTTCTTTCCTCTGAATTTTTAAAGAAACAATTAAATTAGTAAATGGAATATTAATATCTGGTTGCTTAACAGATTTTTCCCCCTTTTTTGTGATGCTGGGAATCAAAATAAAACTCAGAGCTTAGTGCAGGCTATGCAAAATTCTTTATCATTAAGCTTCGGGCTGGGATGTAGCTCAGTGGCAAAGCGCTTGCCTAGCAAGTGCAACGTCCTGGGTTCGATCCCCAGTACCAAAAAAAAAAAAAGAAAAGACAAAATTCTTTATCATTAAGCTTCATCCTCAGAACAATATTTTTTTTCTAAATTTAAGATTTAGGACAAGGACAGAGAAAATACCAAGGAGGGCTATGGACACAGGCACCGGTCAGGCAAGCACAAGATGACTTGAGTCTAATCTTCAGTACTTGCCAATAAAACCAAAAACAAAAGGCACTGATTCCTCTGATGTAAAGAAAATACTGAAATTAAGTCATATTCTTTTCTTGAGCCTTTCCTTATGGAAATAAGGATTTGGGGCAATAGTTTTGCTAAAATGTACAAAAAGAAAATGAGTAAATAGTTTTCTGTAAATCACAATGTTGAGTTACTACCTTAGAAACAGATGCTACAGATGGCTGGTCCAGGAAATGGGATGGCTTAGGGCTGAAAGGATAGAGTGTTCCTTCTTCATTCCTTAATCTTTGCAATGTCATTATCTGATCTGAAGAACCCATAGCTAAGAAGACTCGAAGACTCCCATTTTGGTGGCCTGAGAACACATCAATCACAGGCATGTAGTTGTCAACGGCAATAACTGGGTACTTAGCATCAAGCAGCAGGTGAAAAATCTTGGGATCTCTATAGAAAAAGAAAATTACAATCATCAATCATGTTAGCCTTTTCTTGGCTCTTTTTCTCAGCTTGTTAAAATTGGATCTACAGATAGAATAGCAACAGTGATTTTTATAAGTGTGTAATTTTATCAGTAATCAATCAAACTAAAATTACAAGACATAGATGCAGCAATTTCAGGGCTGGAAATGTGTCCCATGTATCTTTGTATCATGCAGAGCAGCCCGATGCCCACTTTCTGCAAGAAATAGCATCTCAGATGAGGCCTTAACATGGGGTCAATTACTGAGGTCAATAATTAGGAGCAATGTAGACTTAATTGTCTGGCAGACAAAATTTGGATAATATTGTCAATGGTACTAGTCATCTCCTGAGCTTATCAAGTAGCTATGCATTGAACTACTTTTGAAGTCTTTTTTTTTCAAAGTGGAAGATCATCATGTTGATCAAGATAAATGAAGCTCAGAAAATCAAGATATTGTATGTTTTCACTCATGTGTGGAATCTAAACCTAAAAAAAATCATGACATGATTTCTCCCTGCTCATCCCCCACCCTGGAGGGTGCTAATATTAGGAGGGAAGGGAAAGAGAGAATAAAAGAATAAATATAATTTTTATAGATGTATAAAAAGTAGCAAAATAGAACCTACTAAACTTTTTAAACAGGAAGGGGGATGAAGGAAGGGTAAGAAAGATGGATAGAGAGAGGGTGAATATTATCAAAGTACATTACAAGTACATTGTAAATATCATAATGAAAATCATTTGTACAAGTAATTTATGCTAATAAAAATTTTTAAAGGGGAGGATGAAGAGAGAGCCAACCATCAAGAGCAGACTGAGGCATGTGTGATTTCAGTAGTTATCCTTAGCCTGGTCATATTTTATATTACCATTATAAGCATTAAACCAATGTACTTTCTCACTGGATTATATTAATTGCTCTAGAAGTGATAGGGGATTTATCATAACCCTAAGTTTTGAGCTGGTAACTTTTGGCAGTAGATCTCCTGGTAAAAGAGAATAAAATCCAAAGAGGAGTAATGGAGGAAACAAAGAGGAATAGAGGAGGTGATTTGATAAAAGAACACTATATGCATATATAGAAGTATCAAAAGAAACATATTTGAACAATTAATATTCGCTAATAAAACAAAACAGAACGTACACTCCAGGGCCAGGCTGAGTTCTAAACCTGCTTCTACTCATAACAGTTGTGACAATTAACTTCTCTCTCTGTTAGTTCATCTGTCCAACGGGTAATAAAATATCTTCCCCAGAGATTGTTACAAGATTAAATGACCTGATGCATGTAAGGCTCTCAGCATAGCATCTGAAACTTGGGAAGCAATATCTATCCAACTGTTTTAAAAGGGAAGAAATAGCAGCAAGTGTGGTGAGACTGAGAAAGGTCTTTAAAGGGATATCTGAGCTACTTATGTTTGCAATCCCACAGAAATATTCTTCAAGTCCATAGAAAATTAAGGATGCAAAGTAAAGAATATGCCAAAGGATCCTATTTACTTGAATGACATGTAAAACTGATGGAGGGGTAGTTTCACCAGCCCAAGCAACTTGTCTTGTCCTGGGCTCCGAACTTTATTCCAGGTTTCAATTATCATCACATTGTTCTTAAGCCTTTCCAGGTGTTTGGAAGACAGAGAGACAGGAATTATCTGGGAAAAAAAAAAAAGAGAAAAAGAAAAATGTCCACATTTGAGACAATTAATTTAACAAGCATTTACTGAAAGCCTACCATGTGCATGCAGTGTTAGGAGTTAAAAACATTAAAGTAAAACTTTCTCTGCAGCCTTAATAGAGCTGGCAGTTTGCTATTACAGACTAACATATAAATGACAATTTGAAATTTCTGATGACATGGCTCATGGGGCACAGAAAAGGTTATCAGTCATGCTAAACAAGCCTACCCAACTCTAAGGCAAAATACTCATTTCTACTTTTTAATTTTAATTTTTAATTGTTATTATAAAGGTGATGTACAGAGGTGTTACAATTATGTAAGTCAGGTGAGTACATGTCTTTTTGGACAATGTCACCCTTTCCCTTACTCTTCTCTAGTTTCAAATTACTCATTTCTAAACAGTGCTGAAAGATTTATTTTTTTGGTGGTGCTGGGGTTTGAACTCAGGATTTCATGATTGCTACACAGGAATTCTAGTGCTTAAGCCAAACCTCTTTCCCATTTTTGACCTGTTATTTTCGAGATAGGGTCTCATTTTTTGCCTGGGCAAGACTGGACTGTAATCCTATCCATATCGAGCTGAGATGACAAGTATGTACTATCATGACCAGCTTTTTCTGCTAAGACAAGGATCTTGCAAACCTCTTTGCTTGGGCTAGCCCTTGAATTGTGATCCCCCTGATCTCTACCTCCAAAGTAGCTATCATTAACACTGTCACCCAGCAAGAATGATGTTTTTGAGCAAAGATAGCTCTTGACTTGAAAAGCATTGTACACTTTAGCAAAGGCTACTAATCCAAAGCTAGATAGTATTTAATGTGATGGCACAATGCAAAACCTCTGCCCAATAGCTGTCATAGCAAAAAGCAAAGCCATCTGTTCATTTGTTTTTCAATATGAAATAATTTCAAAATTGACCAGCTGGTAGACATCACAAAGAAACAAGATGTAGAGACAAGAGAAGCTCCATCAAAATAATAGTAGGATCAAGGGACTACAAATTTGAAGGTACCCAGCTGTAGCAACAACTACAATATAGTAGAAGGTGGGAGTCAAGCTGCAATGATGAAATTGACAGAAAATATGAAAAACAAAATAATGAAACCAGAAGTATAAGGCATGATGTGGTAGAGTGTGTACTTTCCCATGCAAAGCTGTGGGTTTAGTTCCAAGCACCAAAATCAAACCAAACACCTCCTTCCACTTGCCCCCGCACTGTCATGAAAAAGACACTCAAGATAAAGAATCAGACCAGAACTATCATCTTAAGAAACTAATTACAGAAGGTGATCTACGTACATGTCTGATCCTTAAAACCAAAAGAGTAAAATTCAAACTAATCTTCAAATTGGAGGTTTCAAAGACTGTGGATGAGAAAAAACAAAACAAAACAAAAAAACAACAAAGAAAGCCCCTCAACTCTTAAGGCAGAGCAGGAACTAACTAGAACTAAATGCTATGCTTCACTGGTGTTGTACTGGCTGAGAAGGAAATCCAATACAGAAAGAAAAGCATATGTGAAGACAAGAGAGAAGAGAATATTCAGGAAATACTGCATAGCTGAGCACAGCTAGACTATGTAGTGTGAAGGGAAGAATGACAGGCATCGAGACTGGAGAAATGTATTCAGTCAGTTCTTAAAGCTTCTTAGAAGCCAAGCTAAGGCTTTGCATTCTATCTTAAAGACTTTAAAGAAGCACTGGAAGGTTTTATATAGGGAAGCAAAATGTTCAGGTTACTGTTTCACAAAGATTTCTCTTGTTGATACACAAAGGAAAAAACGGATACATAAGAGGTCAGAAATAGTAGACCAATCTGAAGGTCTATTTGGAATGATGGTGAGGCCTACATGGAAGCAGTGACAATGGAGTTAAAGGGATGCATGCCAGAAATATACATGTAAGTACAAAGTGCGAGATACTCAGGTGGTGATGTCCAGCAAGCAGTCAGATACTGATACATGTAACTACAAGGAAATGTCTGGCTTCTGTAGAGATATAGGCTTGGAAGTGAACTTCACAAAAAGTGAAAGCTGACTTGGTCTATATGGGCTCATGTCTACTCAGGAGGTAAGAGATCAGGAGGATCTTTTTTTTGTTTTTGGTGTGGTCATGGGGCCTGAACTCTGGGCCTGGGCGCTGTCCCTCAGCTCTTCAGCTCAAGGCTAGTGCTCTACCACCTGAGCCACAGTGCCACTTCTGGCTTTTTTTTTCTGCTTATGTGGTGCTAAGGAATTGAACCCAGGGCCTCATGCATGCAAGGCAAGCGCTCTACACTGAGCCACCTTCCCAGTCCAAGGAGGATCTTAATTCAAGATCAGCTTGGACAAAATGTTCATGAAACCCTTTCTCAACCCAAAGTTAGAAGTGGTGGTTTGTGGCTGTCATCCCAGCTATATAGGAACCGTAATTAGGAGAACAGCATTTTGGGCCAGGCAGGGAATAAACACAAGGCTTTATTGCCAAAATAACCAAAGCAAAAGCTGGCTGAGAGTAGGGGATAGCTCAAGTGATAAAATACCTGCCCAGCAAGCAAAATAATCCTGGGTTTAATCCTCAGTACTGAAAACAGAAACAAAAACAACCCACAAAACAACAACAAAACAATAAAACAAAACAAAACCATCTCCCCAAACAAAAAAACCAATCTGGAAGTGTAGGAACAGAAATTATGAAGTGATGTCCATGTCTTTCGATGGAAAGTATGTTTGATTTGAAGAACACATGCAAGATTAATGAAATGCCAAGAACAAGGGAGAAAAGCTAGGTCTCCACCCTTATCCTGGTTTTCTCTTGGTCAAAAACTAAAAAACAAACAAAAAACCCACCAACATAAATTTAAACACCAGCAGAAAAATTCCAAATCATGCCAGCATCTTTTTTTTTTTTGGTTGGTTGTGGGTCTTGACAAATTCCAAATCATTGAATTAAATGAGGAATAACAGCTAGTAAAAACATATCAATAAAAATATAAGGAAAGACTGGAGATAAAGGAAGGTTAGGGGAAAGTCGAATATATTAAATAAACAGTGAGAAATCAATGAATTGAGAAACAAAAAGAGAGACAAAGTTTTAAAGTGGTTGGAAATGAACTATACAACTTGAGGGGGAGGGAGACGAAGGGAAAAAACTAGGAGAAAATGAGGGAGAGGGTCACACTTGTTCAAAAGAAAATGTGCTTAATACCTGACTTATGTAACTGTAACCCCTCTGTATATCACCTTTACAGTAAAAAAGAAATATTACATTAAAAAACTGATAAAAAGTTTTTAAATGTTGTTAATGTCTTTTTCTCTTTCAATTCAGTAGCGCACACCAGATAATTACAAAGTTCTCTTCCAATATGAACATTCTAGATTCCTTTTAAGATGGCACTTGGATTTGGGGAACATTTGGCTGACACCCCCATATACAGTTACCTGAGAGAAGTTAAAGACTGGTTGTGTTGTACCCCAGGCAATGACAGATCTGGTGACTTCCTCTGTGCTGAAGAGTTTACAAGTTAAATAAACATTGCATGGTGGTTGTTTCTCAGATTCTCCAGTAATAAAATCTTTCCCATCTGGCACCATCAACAGCACATACAAGAGCAAAGCATTTTCTTTGGCTGACCCATTTGCCTGATTTACTAAATTATGGGAGGCTGGCACAGACATGAAGGCTGAAGAATTTGTTGCTACAGGGCTAGGTGGCTTTGCATTGGAAAGTATCAGTCTCTGTGCTTTCTTTGCAGTTTCCTCATGAACTTGATTTGTGTTCTGTAGATCTGTGGTACAAGTATTATCTTGGCTGGTTTCTAGTAATATCTTATTTGGACTTGTAACAACAGAAAGTGGAGCTTGTTGGGTGCTGCTAGTTAGCTCAGTATTGACATCAGCAAAATCCTTGTTATCTATAACAAGCTCCATGGTTACCTATAAAACAACAAGAACATTCCGTAGAAGTGGAATCAGAATTTTGGAACTGGAAGTATAAGGTTATTAGGAAATGAACCAACTTAAGAGGAAGAACAACAGACTGCATATACATCAACTTATCAGTCTAAGGAAACTGAGACTGATGATCAATAATGTGAATCTGGAGTAAGGACATGTTCGGAAAAGGATGAAGACATACATGTTTAAAGGATACAGAATCCAGTTGGAGGCTCCCAATGACTAAATATAGAACAATCTGAGTAATGGAGCAATAAGAGTAATGGAGTTTCAAACTATTGAATAATGTAAGAAACTGTGAGTTCATGTTAACATAAAATTAACATGGGAGAAGTATATAGAAATATTTATTCTGGGCTGGGAAGGTGGCTCAGTGGTAGAGTGCTTGCCTTGCATGCATGAGGCCCTGGGTTCAATTCCTCAGTACCACATAGCAGAAAAAGCCAGAAGTGGTGCTGTGGCTCAAATGGTAGAGTGCTAGCCTTGAGTTGAAGAGCTGAGAGACAGCACCCAGGCCCGTAGTTCAGGCCCCACGACCAATCAAAAAAAAAAAAAAAAGGAAAGCCAAAATGCAAACCAGATAAAATAGTGGAGCTAGAAATCACTATCATACAATTATAGTAATATGTGCCTCATGTAAACCAGTAATAGGACATTCTTCAAAACTGCTTTACTTTTATAAAACATTAATGTAATCAAATAATAGAGAAGGGATGCAAAACAGTTACAGACTAAAGAAGATTAGAAAGAAATGATAAACATTAATAATCCGGGACTTAAAAATAAAGTGCTAAGGAGGAAAATACTGGCATAGGTGGTGAAATGTGAGTATGGGTTATAGATGGAATATATTATCAATCTTAAATTACACTTACAATGAATATGAATGTTATGTTCTTGTTCTTAGGAAATACATGAAATACAAGCTAAAACTTTTAGGAGGAAATGGACAAAAATTCTCAAATAGTTTAGAAAAAATGTGTGCATCATATGGCATATGTATACATATAGTAAGTGTATAAATATAGTATGGAGGGAACAAATAGAGAAGGAAAAGGAGAAATAATTATAAAGTAAATGTGACAAAAGCTAAGAATGGGCAAGGCTATGTGAAGACCTTTATACTACATTTCTCCTAAGTTTGAAGTTAATTCAAAATAAAAGTTAAAATTGTTAAAAAGTAAAACAGAGCTGATTACCAGTGGCTCATGTGTATAATCCTAGCTACTCGAGAGGCTGAGATCTGTAGATCATGGTTCAAAGCCAGCCTGGGCAGGAAAATCTGTGAGATGCTTATCTCTCCTTAACCAGCAAAAAAAAAACCCAACCAAACAAAAAAAAGTCAGAAGTAGAACTGTGGCTCAAGTGTAGAGCTTTAATCTTGGGCAAAAACAGTACGCTGTCCCTGAGTTCGAGCCCCAGGACTGGCACTAAAACAAAACAACAACGATAACAACAAAAAATTCAAGCAAAAAAGAAAAAGGAGGCAAAATCAATTTTTTAGGATAGAAGTGGTCACTAGCTGTTAGAAGAATGAATTATGAGGGATAAAAAAGAGTTACTGTTCCTTTTATTTGAAAGCTTTAGGTGTTACACTCTAAAGTTGTTTTCTTCTATCAAATACAATCAGCAATCAATCTATTTTAGTACTTCTTTCAACAGAGATAAGACAGCAACAATTTATAGTCTATCAATCATATTTATTACGCTGTTCAGATTTGAAACCTTGAAGTCTAGAAGGAACAAAAAGCAAGCAAAAAAACCTTGAATAAAATAAGAGTAAGGGGGTTGGGAAGGTGGCTCAGTGGTAGAGTGCTTGCCTTGCAGGCATGAGGCTCTGGGTTTGATTCCTCAGCATCACATAAGCAGAAAAAGCTAGAAGTGGCACTGTGGCTCAAGTGGCATAGCACTAGTCTTGAGCTGAAGAGCTGAGGGACAGCGCCCAGGCCCAGAGTTCAGGCCCCACAACTGACTAAAAAAAAAAAAAGAGTAAGGTGGTGTTTTTTTTCTTCCAATATTAGAGTGAGTCTTTAAAAGGTAAGTGGCATTTACTAGAAAGAGCAGGAACAAGAGAGGAGACTTTCAGGAAGAAGCAGAAACATGAAAATAAAAATAAAAAACATGTAGACTTGAATCAAGATGGTGTACCCTAGTGGTTCATTACATAGTTTGACAAGGCTATTAGTAAAGAAGGCAAAAGCGGAGGTCATATGGTGAGTCCTGCATCTCATCCCTTGGGTGACTAAGTCAGGGGGAGGTGTTAAACATAACTGTGAAGATTTTAAAGGCTCACTAAGGACACAAAGAAAAGCTATTCTGAAGCTATACATTCAAATTCTGCCACCTAGGATGCTGTTAAACACAAGGAAGACCCCCAACCTTTTTTTCCAATGACTTATACATTAGAATTTACTCTATCAGGTACACAGTTACTTTTTTCCTTGTTTACTTCCACAAGTCTAGTCCAAGCCATTATCAATCATCTCTTTTTGGACGTCACTCTCATGCTTCAGAGTCCTTCCTTGGCTCTTAGGCTAAAATCTAAACCCTTTCGTTTGATCTATGAAGCTTTGAATAATAGGGCTCCTCCTGCCTGTATAAACCCTACTTTCTACCACTTGTCTACAATGTGGTAACATTCTATCCCTTGACATGCAAAGCCCATTCTCACTTTAGGGCTTTTTTACTTTGTCTTTACTCAAATCTTGCCTTAAATGCCACTTCCTTGGAGAAACCATCTCCTACTTACTCTTAGGTACCCACTGTCATATTACTTCCTCCAAAGCACTTCTGCTGTTCTATTTCAATAGAGGCCCCATGCTTTTCTTGTTCACTGTGATATTCCAGTGCAAACTAATAATACTTGCTCAGAAAATACTTCTGATTTCCTGAATATTTACCACATACCTTCAGGGGGCCAAGTAGAACCTGGCCATTTTCCTGTTGCACTGGAAGTTGGTCACTGAAGGATAGCAGCTTTGACTGAATGACAGCTCTCAAAATAAGTGATGCAGCTCCCACGAGTTCTGGCTGCAGAAGGAAAGCAGCAGCTTAGGTTCAAGTAGAAGCAGAGGAAATTTTAATTGAGGTGACACCCCATGATTGCTGATAAAAGAAGCCATGCTTTATGAAATACAAAGTTTATTTGTGTGTGTGTGTGTGTGTGTGTGTGTGTGTGTGTGTGTGTGTGTGCTGGCCTGGGGCTTGACTTCAGGGCCTGGGTGCTGTCCCCGAGCTTTTTGGCTCAAGACTAATAGTGCTCTACCACTTGAGCCACAGCTCCACTTCTGGTTTTTGGTAGTTAATTGGAGATAATATCCTGGGCTTTCCTGACCGGGCTAGCTTTGAACAACAATCCTCACATTTCAGCCTCATGAATTGCTAGGATTATAGGTGTGAGCCACTGGCACCTTAGGCACAAAATTTAATTTTTATGACTATATGATTCCATATTCTGTCACATTTTGGTCCCTCTTCTGATTCTACTACTTTTCTCTGGAAGGTAAGAGAATTTCATAAGTCACAAAAAGGTTGGAAGATCATTTTCTATTAAGAGTTAACTAGGTTTTCTTTTTGTTTGTTTTTTTTTGGGTCCAGTCGTGGGGCCTGAACTCTGGGCCTGGGCACTGTCCCTGAGCTCTTCAGTTCAAGGCTAGTGCTCTACCACTTGAGCCACAGCACCACTTCTGGCTTTTTTCTTTTTGCTTATGTGGTGCTGAGGAATCGAACCCAGGGCCTCAGGCATGCAAGGCAAGGGCTCTACCACTGAGCCACCTTCCCAGCCCCTTAACTGGGTTTTCAACTTAAGGTTTTAAGCCTGCTAGGCAGGTACTTTATAAGCCATACCCACAATTATATTTACTTTATTTTTAAAATATTGTTTCTCACTATACTTTGACTGACTTGAAGTATGGTCTTCTCATTTATGCTTCTCAAAGCAGTTGGTTGAGATAGGGTCTTGTGAATTTTTATTGCCCACCTTGTCCTAAATCCACAATCCTCCCAATATCTACCTCCTAAGTGGATAGGATTATAGATGCCTGCTAGTATGCCCACCAAGAGTTAATTCTTTACTCAAAATTGTTCATTCTCACTACTAAAAATGAAAAAGGAAAGCTGGGCACTGGTGGCTCACACTTGTAATTTGACTACTCAGGAAGCGATCTGAGGATTGTGGTTCAAAGTCAGCAGGGCAGGAATGTCTGTGAGACTCAGCTCCAATTAACCACCAGAAAACCAGAAGTGGTGCTGTGGCTCAAAATGATAGAGCACTAGCCTTGAGCAAAAGAGCTCAGGGACAGAACCCAGACCCTGAGTTCAAACCCCATGACCAACCAAAAATAACAAAAAACAACAATAAAAATCCTTTAAAAATAATTTAATAAAAAATAAGGGCTGGAAAGTGGCTAAGTGGTAGAGTGCTTGCCTTAAATGCATGAGGCATGCATGGGTTTGATTTCTCAGAACCACATAAACAGAAAAAGCCTGAAGTGGCACTGTGGCTCAAGTGGTAAAGCTGAAGAGCTGAGGGACATGTCCATGCCCAGAGTTCAGGCCCCACGACTGACAAAAAAAATAAAATAAACAGAGAAAAAAGAAATTTGGATGATAAAAATCTTTACCATTAAAACTAGGAAAATTACAGAACCTAATATACCTAATATGGCCAAGAATATGAAGAAACAAAAGGCTGTTATATAGGCCAGGAATGTGGCTTAGTGATTGCCTAGCATGCAATGAAGTCCTGGGTTCAATTCCTCAATACCACATAAATAGAAAAAGCCAGAAGTGGCTCAAGTGGTAGAGTGCTAGCCTTGAACAAAAGAAACTCAAGGATAGTGCCCAGTCCCTGAGATCAAGCCCAGGACTGGCAAAAAAAAAAAAAAAAAAGAAGGCTGTAATATGAAGAGTGTTGGGAATATAAACTGACAATATACTAATACACTTTTGGACAACAAATTTGGCAGTTAATATAAAAACCTTACACTGGGCACTGGTGGCTCATGCCTGTAATCTGAGTTACATAGGAGGTTGAGATCTGAGGATCATGGTTCAAAGACAGCCTGAGCAGAAAAGTCTGTCAGAATCTTATTTCCAATTAATCACCACAAAACTGGAAGTGGTACTGTGCTTCAAGGTGGTAGAGTGCTAGCTTTGTGCGAAAAGAGCTCAGGGACAGCGCCCAGGCCCTAAGTTCAAGCCTCATGACTGACCAAAAATAACAAAAAGCAACAATAAAAAAGCCTTTAAAGTATTCATACTTAGTACTTAGTATTCACAGTTTAGTACTTCCACTTCTGGGAATTTATAATAAGGAAGTAATACATAAAAAGCTTAGGCACAAATATGTATATGTTAAAAATACTTAACAATTAGAAGCAATCATGTGTTCAATAATTAAGAATTATTAAAGCTAATTATAGTATAGCTACATAATGATATGGATCATCAAAATGAAACCTATGAAATGTTTTTAATAATATGCTATATTTGATAAAAGTAGTATATTACATCATATTCATAGTAAGCCTTCAATTATAAAATTCCTTTGGAAACAGCATAAATATATATATATAATTTTTTTTAAAGTCAGGGCCTTACTATGTAGCATAGGTTGATTTTGAATCGCTCAAATGCTGGGATTATAGGCATGAGCCACTACATCTGCCCAACTACATATTTCTGAAGAAAAAGAAAATATTTTCAAGATAATAGTAAATAAAAACATAGGATAAGGGGGCTGGGAAGGTGGTTCAGTG